TTTTAATTTATCGGACTATATTGAGTTTCTACATTAATTTTTGGTGCCAAAGAAGAGATCTAGAGGGCGAACAAACTGATTTTTGAAATTTGGGAAATAACGGACACCCTAATATATATATATATTTGATATTTGTCGAAAGCGAGAAAGAGAGTTCTGGTTCAGTCTAGTACAGGAACAGAAAGCAGACCAAAAAATATACGAATTAATTATTGATTAATTATTTTAAAATTTAATAAATTGCACACGTTTATAGGCGAATTCATCGTTTTTTTCTTAAGACGTTTCAATCGTGGATTCCACACAAATGGCAAGTTTTCTTTTCCATCTATCACCGGCATGGTGAAACCATACCATAATACTTTTTTCTAACTCACTCCGGGTTACGTTAGCGTGTTCTTTTAAAACCGTCTCTGTTTTAGCCATTTTCAGTCCTTGAAAGGCAAATGTTTTTCTCCGCCCCGTCCATGAATAATCACGCGCCAATGCATCTGAAAATATGGTACTCAAGACGTTGCTCACGTGTTTGGTTGCAGTTTTGCCACCAATTCGATTCGAAAAATATTTCTGTAACATAAGATAAAGTATTATTTTATAAGATGATTTGATTGAATTAAGCATAAGAGTTTATATAAGCATACAAATATAAGGGTCGGAAAAAGTATTAATTTCTATTTACCAGGTATATAAATATGAAACCGGAATTTTTTTTATAGAAAATACACGTTCATTGCATGAAAATGATAAAAAATATTTTATTCGAAGTATTGCCCATCGCTAGCTATACATTTTTCCCACCTGTCTGTGGGTGACAATTTGTGGATGCCACGCCAAAAAAATTGTTGCTTTTTCGAGCAAAACCAGTCATCTAGCCATTTTCGTACATCTTCATAAGAAGTGAAGCGCTGCTGAGCAAGTGCGTGTCCCATCGATGCAAATAAATAGTAATCGGACGGAGCCAAGTCTGGTGAGTAAGCCGCATGCGAAAGTATTTCCCAATCAAACGCCTCAATCGTTTCCAGTTTTGCTGTGTGTGATGTGCATTATTATGAAGCAAAATCACTTTGTGTTGCCTTTTTTGATATTCCGGTCGTTTTTTCACGCAAAGCTTGATTCAAATTGATCATTTGTTGTCGGTAACGTTCAGTATTAACGGTTTCGCCAGGTTTTAGTAAGTTTTAGCAGGTTTCGATGGTTTTCCACGTTCTTCGTTTCTCACGTCAAAATCGCCACTTTTGAATTTTTTAAACCACTCAAAGCACTGTGATTTACCAAGAGCATGCTCACCGTAAGCTTCGACAAGCATTCTATGCGATTCTGCAGCAGTTTTCTTCAAATGGTAACAGAAAATCAATTGCTGTCCGCAAATCGTAGTTTCTAGGCGCAAAATTCGACATGTTCAACGCTATTACAAACTATACTGTTGTATGAAATTTGTATTGTTGTGAGTTGAAAATCTTTGTCAGATGTCAGAACAAGGAAATGGCGTCAATGACGCGGTCTAACAGTAACTACGTTGAC